GAAAGATCTTCACTAAGGAGTGGGGAATGTTTGGTCCTTTGGATTAGACAGTGGTGAAGGCTTTAATAACTTCTCACTTATTTTCTGGGCATTTGTCTTGTCTGGACCTTAGAATATGAGTTTATGGACCTGATTTTTCCTTTATACTTGGCTACTTTTTAATGTCTTAAATTCCCAAAGAGTCTCATCATTCTTCCCACAGCTTTAGGTATTTCACTGCATTTTATATCCATAATCTTTTACCCCAAGATTCTAAATTCTGCCATATCCCTGAAGCCCTTACATGCCATGCTGTCCTCGATTATATTGCAAGACTCCCAACAACCTGGTATCTGAGCTATACTGTCATTCTTATACTGTCAGAGCTCCAAGTCTGGCAAGAGATGAATCTCTCGCTTTGGAGCCCAGAGAGGATTGAAACATTGACAATAGGTTCTGTTCTTCTGCTGATGACTTCAAAGCCACGGCTATCACTTCTGCATTGTGGCATGCTATTCCAGGAGAAGTGTGGGTCAAATGAAAATAAAATTACCATGGAAATTCCTACCATTTTCAGTGTGTATTTTTTCTTGAGTGTGCATATGTTTGATTTTTGTATATCCCTGACTGTTTTCCCAAGTATTGTATAGTTGTTTGAGTCAGTGTCTAGTTGTTTTTTAGTTTTTTTTAATGTTTCTGTGAGGGAATGTGAGTATGCAGCCTTTTACTCTGCCATGTTGCTGTGCTCTTCTGAATTTTTAATTTTAGATTTGCATTAGCAGTCATGGAATTATAAAAGGACAACAAAGTGTTAAGGCTTCATCTGGTGTGGTAGCTCTCATAGTGTTATGCTGTATGGAGTCACACAGAGCTACAATGGCCCAATGGAGTAAGGGGCTGGGAGCAGGGGACAGCCAAAAAATGCAGAGGAAGAAGAAATAGATGTTTTGAAGTAAGAATTGACAAAACTGTATTAAAGCTAATTTGTAGGGCACCTGATGACAACCCTTTAAGAATCATTTAAGGGAGGCTATCTAACAGAATGAATTAATAGTTAATATCAGACAAAGTAGAATTACATAAAAACTTTTCCAGGAGATAAAGGATATTTTATATAAGGTGTAACCTAACAAAATCGATCCGTGTAATACAGCACATTAAAAGCACGGAAGGGATAAAGTAATGTTATCTCAATAGATGCAGAAAAGATATTTGACAAAATCTATCATGATAAAAACATTCACAACAGTAAGACTAAAAAAGGTACTTCCTCAATATGATAGTGTTTATGGGAAACCCACAGCTGACTTCATATTCTATGGTGATAGACTGAACCCGTGCCACTGAGGATCAGTAGTCAAAAATACCCATTCACACCACTGCTCTTCAAATATGTTTTAGCCAGAGCAAGTAGGCAAGAAAAAGAAATAAAAGTTCTCCAAATTGGCATGGAAAGAATAAACACATCTTGATTTGTATATGACATGATCCTATATAGAGAAAATCCCAAATAATCCATATACACAAAATAACTACTTGACCTAATAAATGAATCCAGCAAAGATGCAGGGAATTTTGTCAATATGCAAATATCAGTTATGTTTGTAACACACCAGCTTGGAACAATCTGAAAATGAAATTAAATACATTATTCTATTTACAATAGAGTCCTATTGAACCAAAGAGGCAAAAGACATATACACTAGAAATGTCAAATGTGCTTTAAGAAATTGAGAAAGATCTAAGTAAGACCATGATTTATCCTACTTATTATTGGCAACATAGCAATACCACTCAAAGGAATGTGGAGGTCAGATCTAATCCCTAGCAACATTGAAATGACATTTTTTGCACAAATGGAAAGACCAATCTTTACATATATATGGAGATGAAAGAGATCCTGAGTAACCAAAACAATATATAGATATAGATATAGATATAAATGACTCATATACCTGGGCCGAATTCATTTTTGAAAAGAGTGCCAAGACCAATCAGTGAAGGAAAGAATTGTCTCTTCAACAAATGGTGCTGGAATAACTGGATATCACGTGAAAAAGAATGAATTTTGAGCCTTGCTCACATCACATACAAAAACTAACTCAAAATGATTAGTAGACTAAAAGAAATACCCAAACAGTTAAAACTGTAAAATTCTTAGAGGAAAACAAAGGGATAAATCTGCATGCACTTGGATTTTGTCAAGGATTTGTAGATGTGACACCAAACGCATGAGTCACAAAGAAAATATAGATAAATTGGACTTCATCAGAATTAAAAACTTCTATGTATCAAAGGACATATAAAGAAAGTGATGAGATAACTTATTAGGTATAAAGCAAGTATGGCTCTCACCACTGCTTTTCAGCCTCACACTGAAATTTCCAGTTGAAGCAACAGGCACAAATAAATAAAAGGCATATAAAGATTAGGATGGAATAAATAAACTGATTTGTTCACAGAAGAATTGATGATTCATGTGAAAATCTGAGTCAGAAAAAAAGTCCTGGAACTAATAAACAATTATGGCAATGTTGCAGGATATAAGTGTAATACACAATATAAATCCCTTTCCTGTATATCAGGAATGAACAAGAGGAATGTGAAATTAAAAACACATTATTATTTACATTAGAACCATGAAAAATGAAAGACTTAGGTATAAATCTAACAAAGTATGTTCAAGGTGTTTATAAGAAAAAATACAAAACTCTTGTGGAAGAAACTAGAGAACTAAATAAATGAAGAGTGGTTCCGTATTCATGACAGGAAGAACCAATATTGTCAAGACGTCAGTTCTCTGCAATTTGATCTATAGATTCAAGGCAATCGCAATCAAAATCTCAGCAAGTTATTTTGTGGCTATTAACAAACCAATCCCCAAATTTGTGTGGAGAGGTGAACTCTAAAGAGCCCAAAGATGACAAACAAATTTGGAGGATTAACATTACTGAACTTTGTGATTTACTATAAACTACAGCAACCAACACCTTGTGCTTTCACAAAAAATCAACAAATCGATCAATGGAACAGATGAAGAGCCCAGAAATAGACCCATATAAATTCAGTGAACTGATCTTTGACAAAGGATTAAAGACAACCATGGAGAAAAGACAGTCTTTACAACAAATTTGTAAATATACACTTACAGACATGTATATACACATATATATATGCAATATAAAAGAACACTAAAAATTGAAAACTCAGCAAGGAAAAAAAAAAGCCAAAAACCTCAACAGAAAACTCTTTAAGTAGATATACAAATGCTCATAAGCATATGGAGGAGACATATTTTACCAGCATCTTTATATCAGCATCTAGGAGTTCCACCACCCCCCACTGGGGCAGGACAGGGGCCTGCTCTCTCCAAGGCACCTGCACCTCTGGTCTGGCATTGGAATAGTCCTAAATGACTATATCACTCCAGACCAACAGTGAGGGATGAGGACCCTGGAACTAGGTCATGTTTTTAATGAAGAAAGAGATTCCTACCATCTCAACTTCTTTCTTCCATAAAGCATTGTTATACACAGAGGTCTGGATCTACATGTCAGTCCTGCAGTACTTCATGTGCAATGTAGGCTCTTGTGGCACATGATCTTGTGGCGCCATAATCTAAAGCTCCCGTCACACCCCTTTGTGATTTAAAAAGCTATTTATATGGGAAAATGTGACTTGAGGTTCTCAAAAATGACTTCAAGGTCATCCAGACACAGTGGATGTGAGCATCGTACAGAAGACACTGAGCTGTCCAGGGAACATGAGGTAAATCTCAAGACAATGAGCTCTAGGCACTGACAGGAGGGTGAATTCAGTAAACAGTGACTTTAATTTCGGGTTGTCTATGCTTTTGCAGATGTCATTAACCTATTTCCTTTCTTCCCTGTCTTCAGGAATTTGAGCATTTCATTGCCAAGTTTGGTGACTCTGGCTTTGTCCTGGTGGCCCTGGGCTCCATGGTGAGCACCTATCAGTCCCAGGAGGCTCTCATGGAGATGAACAATGCCTTTACTCATCTTTCCCAAGGGGTGATATGGTCATGTAAGTCTCTTCATTGGCCCAAGGACATCCAGTTGGCAACAAATGTGAAAATCGTGGACTGGCTTCCTCAGAACCACCTATTGGGTAAGGGGTGCCCTGGTTTGCTTGTCTCTTTCCATTTATGTGATTTTAGGACTCATCAGGGTGCTGATTTACTGGGGCAAACCCATCAGCAAGAGGACAGTAGATAACTGAATGGAATCTTCAGAGGACAAGCCAAAGAAGCAGCGGCACCTTCTGAGAAAACAGGTTATCTTTCCAACATGGCAGCAACAGCCTTTCTATTCCAGTCCTGATACCTGCAGCCAGAGTGATATTTTTGTCAGGTTTTTTGACCATGCCATATTTGGCACTAAGCAAATTCACCCAAATGCAATCCAAGGCAGAATGTGAACTCATAGAACACATAACAGGGGACATGTTGCCACTCTTCTCTGTGGCCTCTTGAGCACCTGTTTAGCCACTTGCCATTATACAAACACCCACACATATTGATCATCCTCCTTAGACACATAAGGCATGAGCAGGTCACACCTTCAGAGTGTGGATGTCCATGGTATCTGGTGGGGGCACCAAGCTATCTGAGTGCCAGGCTAGGTGACCTCCAGCCAGTTTTGTGGCCCATCATTTCTCTGTAAACAGGGAGCCCTTACACCCTCAGGTTCCCTTTGTCCCTGTGCTGTTTTGGGCCCACCCCTCACTGCCACAGCCACGGACTGCATCACAAGTTCCTAATTGAGATAATGGCTCAAAACATATTGGGAATTTAAGAGAGAGGAAGTGCTGCATATTTGATTCATAGAGCATGGGGTAGGGGAAAGGATTCCCATTTTCAGGGTAATAGAAGTACATTCTGGTGCACGTTGCTTTTGAGAAGTTGAGTTTGAAATGAACTCGTTGTCAACACTTGCTTTACTGTTGTCTAAGGGTAGGGTGGGTAGAAAGGAAGTGAAAATACTGAGGTATGTAGTCCATCATTCCTACTTTAAAGGATTTTTCATAAAATTGAGGAGAAAGTGCATGATTAAGTTTTATAAGTGTCACATGCATTTTGATGTCAGTGAAAGTGTGAAGAATTCAGATAAGAGGAAAATGAATGCACAGTGGAGGAGAGAAAGGGAGACCTAAAGAGTCAGAGAGATAGAGAATGGGAGAGAGAGACAGGGCCAGGCACACAGAAGGAAGTGGAGAGGGAGATGGAGAGGGAGGGAGGAACAGAAGGAGAGGAATGGAGAGAGAGCACCCTGGGAGACGTTACGGGGGAAACAGACAGAAATGCGAAATCAGAGGCAGAGTGAAGAGAGAAGTTAGGATGGATGGATGGACGGACGGATGGATGGATGGGTGAATGGATGGATGTATTGGTGGACAGATGGATGGGTGGATGGATGGACAGGTGGATGGATGGATGGATGGGTGGATGGATGGATGGGTGAAAGAGTGGATGGATGTATGGATGGGTGGACGGATGGATGGGTGGATGATGGATGGATGGATGGGTGAATGGATGGATGGATGGGTGCATGGATGGATGGATGGGTGGATGGATGGACGGATGGATGATGGATGGATGGATAAGGGAATGGATGGATGGATGGGTGGATGATGGATGGATGGATAAGGGAATGGGTGGATGGATGGATGGATGGATGGGTGGACGGATGGATGGGTGAATGGGTGGATGGGTGGATGGATGGACGGATGGATTGATGGATGATGGATGGGTGGACTGATGGATGGGTGGATGGATTCATGGGCAGGAGGTGGGATATGCCTCTCTTATCACTCTCTTTTGAAGCATCCCTGGGATCTAAGCCTTAGTTGGATGACACAGACTTAGAGGCATCTCTGCTCAGAGACAAGCCCAGGATCTTGTGTCCTGGAACCTGTCAACTTGAGTGTGTCCTAGGCTAAATGAATAAATTCGTTTTCTCCAAAACACTTCGACATCCCATATTTTCTTCTGCCCTTGCTGCTTTTCCCATTGTTCTGAAACTTCCCATTCTGAAATGTTCTGCTCTCTTTATTTCCAACAGCTCACCCTCGCATCCGTCTTTTTGTCACCCATGGTGGAATGAATAGCATAATGGAGGCCATCCAACATGGCGTTCCTATGGTGGGGATTCCTGTCCTTTCAGACCAGCATGATAATGTGGTCCGAATAGAAGTCAAAAATTTAGGTGTCTCCCTGCAGTTAAAGCAGCTGAAGGCTGAGATGTTGGCTCTGAAGATGAAGAAAGTCATAGAAGACAAGAGGTACGTGGCTCTTCGGACCTGGGGGCACATACGCTGCATGAAGTCAGTAAACATCAAGGGTACTGTGTGGATCTTGTTTGCAAAATAGACTGAAGCTTCCTAGACACAGAATAATGTATGTGTATGATCCTGACCCCGGACTTGCTTCCTGGGAAAGGAAGCCCAGACAATTTAGGTTAGAGGCTGAGAATAATCTGCTTGAGGAGTGGTGAGGGACATGACCTACGTACAGGGAGTCTCTGGGAACTCATTATATTTCATAGGTACTTGTGTAGTCGGGCTCCAACTGAGGCAGGAGGTAGCCCTTCTGCCCCCAACATGCCGCACTGTCCCCACGTCAGGCCCTTTGTCTGTGCTGCGCCCTGCAGCATCCTCCCCTTCTGCTCACAGGCAGCTCCTGATGACATTCAGGTCTCCCCTGCAATGTCGACTCCTCAGAGGGGTGGCTCCCACTCTGACAGTCCTACTTGGGCTCCTCTCCCACCCACTCCCATTGTGATTCATTATTTTCTTCTTAACAATCCTTGGGATCTGTAACTACCTCATTTCTTTACGTTTTAGTTTTTGTCTGTCCCCCCACACTAGAGTGCAGAACCTCAGCTCCCCCAGATAGCAACCTGTGTCTCGTTTCCACTATGTTCCCAGGGCCCCCCCCACTCAGGGCTGCCACAAAGTAACTTTGAATAAATTTCTGGTATGTGAGTCAGTAAAAGGAACCCATTGATCCCAAGGTAAATTTCCATCAGACACAACATGTTATTTTGTAACCAAAGTAGAATATCTTATAGGGTTTCAAGGATAGAAACCCTGTCTCATGAATGTAGTACATCATGTATACACATATGTACTTTTCCCTTACTGTGCCATAAGCCTACCTGGGTGGAGACTAGTCTTGACTGATGTAGTCACATTTTTACAGTTTAGCACTGAGCATGGTTCTTTGCATGTAGGTATCAGTTTGAACTTTTCAAGAAACCCACCTAGACACTGGCAAAACCAGGCTAACAACCTTTCCTTGACACTGAGTCTTTTGTGTATACATTGTAAAGTGCGTGTTCTGTGTGATGCCAGGTTGCTAAGACTTGTGATTCTCCTGAATATGCCATGCCCTGTCTTCCCTACAGGTACAAATCAGCAGCGGTGGCCGCCAGCATCATCAGTCGCTCCCACCCCCTAACCCCTGCCCAGCGGCTGGTGGGCTGTATTGACCACATCCTCCAGACGGGGGGTGCAGCAGACATCAAGCCTTACGCCTTGCAGCACCTGTGGCATGTGCAGTATCTGTTAGATGTCTTCTTGTTTCTGCTCTTGGTCACCCTGGTCCCCGTGTGGCTCTGTGGGAAACTGCTGGGCATGGCAGCCAGGTAGCTCTGTGTTACCAGGAAGCTGAAGGAGGCCTGAGTCCATATGAATTTTGTGGAGGGAGGGTTGGGAGACAGTGGCTCTTAGAAGGATTCCCTGCATGAGCCGCACCTGGTGTCCCTTTCTCACAGCCACTTAACAGTGGCCAGAAAATTGCTCCTCACTATTCTGCCTCTGTTTAGACAGCCTTAGATGCACTGCTGGGATTTTTTTTTAATTGTGGTAAAATAGACATCGCATACGAGCTTCCATTTTTATTATTAAATACACAGTTCAGTGACCTTCATGCTTTCACTTTGTCATGCCTCACTACCTGCCACACATCCCTACCATCCAATTCCAGGTCATCTTCTCCTACCCAAAGTAAAACTGCACCGATTAAACAGTAACTCCCATTCCCTGACCCACCCCCTGCCTCTGTCCTGTAGTTGGTCAGAGCCAGCCCCTCCCAGGACCACGCTGTGCTCTCTGCCCCGAGGTGGGCCCTCCTGCAGGGAGCACCTCCTTTGCTGGCAGGCCTGGCGGACTTTGACCCTCAATCCATGCTGTGCTTTCCTGTGATTACACTTCCCTTTTCAAGAGTCCCTTTCTTCAAAATGCGGTCACAGAAACCTCATGTGGTGCCTGGCACCTCCATGTATGGCTTTGGGGCTTCAGGCCCCGTGTCTGAAGCAGTGCTGAGACCTTCTTCGGTTTGGAACCTTTCCATCCGCCACCCCTACATGGCAGAGAACATCTGTGCAGGCAATCCCTTAGGAATAACATTCAGTCCCTAGTAACACGAACCAGAGAAAGTATGGCTTTAACACGTGGGTTTTTGTTTGTTTGTTTGGTTTTTCAAGTCTAGACCAAGTGTGGAGGCAGCCCGTGGATTGCTGATTTGATGGCTCTATCATGTCTACAGAAGTTTCTCCCCACACCTCTCCTTCTATGTATCTATATAACATTTATATATATAATTTCTTTTGTTGTGTTCTTCTTTTGTAAATTGATGTACAAAATTGCCTTTCTTGTACAAGTTTTTCAAGAAATATTTCATTTTCAAGTGACTATGTTATCATATTTGCTTCTCCATTAGATGAAATTAATGCTCGTTCTAAAATTTTCAGATTTATGTTGTCTGAGGACTTTAAAATATAGAGAAGAAAACTTCAGACATATGTAGTGGCCCTGGGAGAACCATAGTCTTGGATTGCTTACTTTTAGGTTCCTGAAACAGATCTTGTAATAATTAAAATAAAAAAATGAAACATCTGCTAGAAATACTTCTTGAAGAAATAGGCAAGTCCTCCCATTTGCCAATTCTAAGAAAATATTTTCTCTGGGAGTCTGCAGTACTGGGTGGCTAGTTTCTACCCTTCCTGTGAGTTCTGATGTTGCAAGGAGCATGTCACAGGCGCAAGTTTAGGTCCTCAGGGGGATTGCATGTGTGTGAGACAAGGTTTTATTTTTGTATTTCCTATGAAACCCTTGAAACGGTCTGTAGCAATAGTCTCCTCAAGTGAAGATGTGGAAATCCCTTGCGTCCTACTTGAATCAATAGCTACAATTTTATTTCAAAATGACCAGCACTGGGATGGTAGGATGAGGCTCCCTGGCTGGTACCTCCCTCTCTCCACCTGCAGCTTGCTGTATTCTCCCAACATCTGGTCATTCATTAAGGCGAACTCTGTGGCAAGTGCTTCCTCAGGCCCATCCCCATCCCTGAAATAACATCAGTAGCAGCCAGTGATCCAAGGAGAATGTTCCCCCAGTTTCTTCCCTCCAAGCATCTTCCACAGCCTTGCAATGTGGTCTTGGCAATGTGGAAATCTGATCTCAGCACTCCCTTATTAAAATCCTTTGCTGGGAGAAGGGATTAAAGCTGGTGGCACGAGCGGTAAGACAGATGCTTCCTCCTAAAACTGCATATAATTAGTAGAACTAATCATGAGACAGCAACAGGAAAGAGGACGGTGCCAGACTACAGCCGGAGAAAAGAGCAAACCTCACGGAACAGAGTAACGTACCAAAGCTCTGCCTGGCGGGTCACATGCCCCTACCCCACCCCAGCTCACCGGGGAGAGGAAGGGAAACTGAGTAGGGAGGGAGGGGAGGCCTGGGACTGATGAATACCTAACTCCGGAGTTCTGCTCTGGGAGCACAAACCTACATTTCATGGTGCTTTGATGATACTCTCATGATTACAGGGTTGGAAAGCTTGGAAATGCGGAGTTCCTGGAGAGATTGTGATTTCAGCCACTTGTGGAAAGCAGGGATCCATATCCAGCTGCTCTGGGATAAAAGCTTATGCCTGTGTGCTCGGCCCACTGGTTCAGGCAGTGGAGGCAGGCATAACAGTGGGGAAGCAGGACTCTTTCCTACACCCAGGCCCCAATACCACTCCACTTCGATCCCTGATAAATTAATAGAGCTCCCAGGAAAGATTTAAATTACATGGACCTCATGACTCTAGCTGAAAGGGAGTTCAAAATAAAAATCATTAACATGCTAATGGAGGTACAGAAAGATACCCAAGAACTCAGGATTGAATTCTGGTCAGAGATACCATCATTGAAGAACAAAATGGAGGGTATTAGTACTAAAAGCAGGTTGGATATGGTGGAGGAGATGATAAATTAAATAGAAACCAGTGAAGAGAAATACAAAGAAACTGAGGCACAGAGAGAAAAAAGGAACCTTTCGTAACCATGAATCTAAAGTCTGAGATGGCAATAAGTACATACCTATCTGTAATTACCCTAAATGTAAATGGACTGAATGCACCAATCAAAAGACATAGAGTCAATGAATGGATAAAAAATCAATACCCATCTATATGCTGCCTACAAGAGACTCACTTTAAACTCAAAGACATACACAGACTAAAAGTGAAGGGATGGAAAAAGATATTCCATGCAACTAATAGAGAGAAAAGAGAAGGAGTTGCAGTACATGCATCAGATAAGAATTCAAAACAAAGAAAGTCACAAGACACAAAGAAGGACATTACATAATGATAAAGGGGTCAATCCAACAAATGATATAACCATGATAATTATCGATGCTCCCAACACAGGAGCACCTACATATGTGAAACAAATACTAACAGAATTAAAAGGGGAAATAGAATGTAATGCATTCATCCTGGGAGACTTCAACACTCCAGTCACTCTGAAGGACAGGTCAACCAGACAGAAAATAAGTAAGGACAAAGAGGCACTGAACAACACATTAGAACAGATGGACCTAACAGACATCTACAGAACTCTACACCCAAACGCAGCAAAATACACATTCTTCTCAAGTGCACATGGAACATATTCAAGAATAGATCATATACAAGGCCACCAAAAGAGCCTCAGTAAATTCAAAAATATTGAAATTGTACCAACCATTTTCTCACATCACAAAGGTATGAAAGTAGAAATAAATTATGCAAGGCAAATAAAATTCCCAGAAACACATGGAGGCTTCACAACATGCTCCAATATAACCAATGGATCAATGACCAAATAAAAACAGAGATCAAGCAATATATGGAGATAAATGACAACAACAATTCAACACCATAAAATCTGTGGGAAACAGTCAAAGCCATGATAAGAGGAAAGTATATTGCAATACAGGCCTTCCTCAGAAAAGAAGAATCCCATATAAGCAGTCTAAACTCACTATTAATGAAACAAGAAAAAGAACAACAAATGAAGCCCAAAGTCAGTAGAAGAAGAACAGAAATAAATAAAATCGAGAAGAATAAAACTATAGAAAGATTCAATGAAAACAAGAGGTGGTTCTTTGAGAAAATAAACAAAATAAATAAACCCCTAGCCAAACTTATCAAGAAAAAAAGAGAGTCTACACACATAAACAGAATCAGAAATGAGAAAGGAGAAATCACTATAGACACCACAGAAATATGAAGAATTATTAGAGAATGCTATGAAAAATTAAATGCTAACAAACTGGATGACCTAGAAGAAATGGACAACTTTCTAGAAAAACACAACCTTCCAAGGCTGACCAAGGAAGAAACAGAAAATATGAATAGACCAATTACCCGCAATAACACCGAACTGGCAATCAAAAACAGACCAAAGAACAAAACACCTGGAGCAGATGGCTTCACCGCTGAGTTTCATCAAACATTTAGTGAAGACTCCAAGAATGAAGTATTGGTTACCAAAGAGGAGGGGTGTGGGAGGGTGAATGGGGAGGGAGAGTGAAGGGGATTGAGGGGTACTATGTTTAGTTCATATGGTGCTGGGGATCACGGGGAGAAGAGTGTAGCACAGTGCAGGCACATAGTCGATGTGTGGCATTTTACTACACTGATGGACAGGGTATGGGTGGGGACTTGATAATATGGGGGAATGTAGGAACCACCTTGTTTTTCATGTGAAACCTTCATAAGAGTGTATAGCAATCATATCTTAATACTTAATATAAATAAGTAAAGAAAAAAAATCCTTTGCTGAGAGGGAGGAGGAGCCAAGATGGCGGTGTGAGTAAGGCAGTGGAAATCTCCTCCCAAAACCATATATATTTTTGAAAATACAACAAATACAACTATTCCTAAAAGATAGACCAGAGGATACAGTAGAACAGCCAGGCTACATCTGCGTCTGCAAGAACTCAGCACCTCATGAAGTGGGTAAGATACAATCCGTGGCCCAGCAGATCCCGAGCTCCCCCACAACCCCAGCTCCCCGGCGGAAGGTAAAGAGTCACAGCAGGGAGGGATTGGAAGCCCAGGACTGCTAAATACCCAGCCCTAGTCATCTGCACCAGGAGCATGTACACACATCGCATGGTGTGCTGGATATTAGGGAAACAGAAGAGTAAAACCTGCGAGCGAGTCCCGCAGCCTGTGCCCCTGGGACAAAAGAAAAGCGAGCTCTTTTTGAAAGTCTTAAAGGGACAAGGACTTCACAGCTGGACAGCAGCACCCCAGCACACTCAGCCCAGCAGTGGGAAACCCGTGGAAATTCATGTGCTCTAGACCCCTGGGAAGTAGCACAGCTCTG